AATAAACTTTTATATAAAAAAAGTTACTGAGATAGAGAAAATAATTATCATTAAATAAAAGTTTATTAGAGCTATAGAAGAGTTATTAGATATATAAAAACTCTATAGATCTATTAAATAGGATTATCTAATTTAATATATATATAAAAACTGTAGCTACTCTCTAAATCTATAAAAGATTGGCAACTCTCTATCTCTCATAATATACTACTACTTGTAATCTCAATATAATATTATCTATTTCGTTTTTATTAATTTGATCCGGTACTGTGAGAAATTAATAAAAAAGTAGATATAAATTATAAAGAGTAGTATATCCCAGAGAATAATAGTAAATAGACTAATTAGTAGAAAAGAAAGTATAACCAGGACTGGTTACAGTCGGTACTAGTAGTAGGTTCTCCCCAGTGGCCTTATCGTGCTATGTCACGATGCAGTTGACTTCTACCTATTAGAGGGGGTCATTTAGACGACAGATAGCGAAGACTTCACTCATGGTCTTGCACCGCTATCATTATTCAAAGAACTCCTTCACCCACTGAATTACCACTGTCTTGAGCTGTCTGCCTGGTTAACCACTCGAAAAATCTATCGCTCGAACCGTTTTGAGATACTTAAGTACCGGATACTACCTATTGAATACTATCTACGAAGATCTGTGGACTACAAACTCGTTTCTGAATTCTGTCTGTTTCGGTATATTGTGACGGAAAACCTGGCTCGAAGTCTAGTGGTTAGAATACTTGTGCTTGGAATGCTGTGCGTGGGATACTGTATGCTGGGAATAGCTTTTATGTTTTGACTTTGCGTTAGAGCAATTAGTGCTACTGTGTCTATCTTTATGTAGGGTAAAAGCTACTAGGGAGCTACATACGGCCTTTGGCCGCGAAAAGCCTGAGGAAAACAACAACAACAACAACAACAGCTACAACATCCTTACGTTGGAGGGTGGTCAATTAAGGCGCATTGAAATCGCGGTTGGTGCGCAGGGTCCTTACCGTTTACGTTAGTCTCCGTGATCACAGCCCGCCTACCAGGAGCAGAAGTTGAGCCGGAGGAATTGCACACAGAGTTGTGGCGATTAATGAAGCACATTGGGGATCGCCGCCACCTGACACTTGGCAAGCTGAGACACGTTACTCCGCTACGGACAGAGAACACCTATCATTGGCATTTTCTGCAGGTAAGTTCAAATTATTTCTCCACTGCGCTAACGCTCAGACCACATTCTGGAACGATCACAAGGCATTGCTGGGGCGCAAGAATAACCAGATAACACCTCGCCAAGCCCGAACTAAGGAGAACCACTTGGATTCTAGTAGACATAGGATCCACAAAAAGAAAAAAAAAAAAAAAAAAAAAAAAAAAAAAAAAAAAAAAAAAAAAAAAAAAAAAAAGAACAAAGAATAAAGAAAAAGAAAAAAAAGAAAAAAAGAAATATAAGACAGAAACAGAGAAACACTGAAGGGAGATTAAGGGTGTAGTATCCTATTCTACAGACTATTTTTCGCTGGAAAAAGACTAACTAAATGCTAGTTATCAGCTTCCAGCTTCCAGCTTTCTTGGGCTAAGTTATATATTTTCAGACCTTTTTCCTCTAATTATTATACGCTAGCCTAGTTCGGCAGGGAATTGCCCCGATCCAACTCGCGAAATTAAGATATGCAAACTGGTAGACACCATCGCTTTGGCTATTAGGTTTCGGTACCTGGTTACCGGGACAAACTATTGAACTTTGGCTACGCCAGCACGACCTGTCATTGGCCTGTACTTGTATAACAGTAGGGGACTCCAAGTCTCCAGCCTCGCGTTTGAGGAGGGTAAGTCCTCCAGTAACTGTCTGCTTTCGTGCCACTAACAGCAAGTTACAGGAGATCCACAGCAGCACCCTTATAAGATTCACACCTTCCTACCACACCTCGAGTTTTGGCTCACAACCTTACAGCTTCCTCCCATCAATTAATATCCCTGGGATTGTCTCCTTTCAGAAAAACAATCTTCAGGATAATTTAGCCACCGATATCACACATCATTTAGATCAACAAATATGGCCAGGTAGTAGACCCTTAAGCCTACATTCAAGCAAGCCTTCTTAGATCCCAAGTAGAAAGGAGACCTTCCTCCTCACCTCTCAAAGGTCTTCGCGCGGCTTCCAAATCTTGACAGGAAATTACAGAACATTATAAGAAGTTGTGTCATAAAGCTTCTAGATTATTCCCAACATCCTACCTAAGTCCCCCCTCTAACCATTGTGTCAATGTCATAGCAAATAGGCACGTATTGTCTACATCTCCGACTCTCGCGTCAACCTTGTAAGTCCACATACCACTCCTCAAAAACATTGTAGGAATCTGAAAATCTAGTAAAATATCACTGCGGTCGCTACTAGGCATATAGTCAACCTGAACCCCACGGGCGTTACGAATAGTGAGGTGGGCTAGATCATTAAAGGGCGTAGTCTTCAATGGCCCTGTAGTGGAGTCTTCATTGCCATGACTACCATCGGGGTAGACAGCAGAGGCGCTCACTTTGAGGGTCGCATTGACCAGGCCCTCGTCAGGAAGTGCCAGCTCCTTCTTTTTAGATTCAGGCAGGTAACCGCGCAGGTAGACGAAGAAGACACGATCACTTTATCAGGATGTTAACATCAAAATATTATTATTAAGATTAAGCTGCACTTCAAGGAGAGGGATGATCTTACGCGATAATAGGTGTCGGGGCAATCTCAAGAAACTCGATCTTGAATATCTGATTATCCTTGGGCACGGTGTCGTAGATGGCATCGTTATGGCCAGGGACCATGTTGTCTTGTTGGGCCATAATATCCTCGCTGACAAGCAATTCTTGCTGTGTGGGGTTGGTCTTGGCAAGAGCAGCGAGTGTAGCGGTGCAAAGAGACAAGGTTTGCCGGAGAATTGATTTCATCGCGTGGCAGCGGTTGTAGATTAAAGTTTTAAGACAGCTCAGGGTGAGTTTAGCAATGAGGGACGAGAGGAGTGTTGGATTTATGTCACTTGACTGCCTCCCAATAGCTGCCCTAGGTAAACTAGCATCCAACCACAGCGCTGCGGAATTCGGATCGTCCAGACATCTGACATCGGCCGCATAAAAATATGCGCAATCGTCGAAACGCAGACAGGAGCAATAATATTCAGATTTCTATATATATAGATATTGTTATTATAAGGGACAGATTCAGGGCAATTCTTAACCACCCAGCAATACTTATATATCTTTTTCTTTTTACTACTAGATAATCTCTGGGCTTGTTACATAGAGTGGTTATCGGGTTGGGTTCGGGTCCTAGATCTAGGAACCGCCCCTGAACCGCTCCGGTTTCGGGTTCTAGACCTAGGACCCGTCCCCACCCCGCCCCCGCGCGGATTTAGATTAACCCGACCCACCGGTTCCCTGCCAAGGAATATACTAATCTAACTACAGTTAGATTTAGATTCGGGAAACCTAACTTAATCTAATCTATCTATTTTTATTATATAACTGTAACAGCGGCTGTCTAGATAATAAAATCCTACTGCAAGTAAGATTCTGGCCGGCTAGTTTAATATATAAATATATTTATACCAGAATTATATAGAGAATTTTAAATTTTTAATTTTTAAATAATTTATTCTATAATCTGTTATATTTTTTATAGAAATTACTAGACTGGCGTTTGGCTAGGTTAGGTTAGGTTAATGGGGTCAGTTATACCTAATTGGTAGGTCATAACTAGGTTATATATATATATATTGTACTGTCTGTGGTTAATCAGCGGTTAACCTAGTTCTGCCTGAGGCGACCAACTAAGCCTATTTAGGCAGGCGGTGAACTAGGGTTGCTTAAAATACTGCCGGCAGAAAATAGCCCTAACCTACCGCCTACTAGAACAGGCTTAGTTCGGTGCCTTGTGGCCTTATCAGGCAGAACTAGGTTAACCGCGGTTAACCTAGTTTTAACCTTAACCTAGGTCGGTTAAACATTTTTATACCTTAAC